TCGAAACCCAACTTTTTTCGTATATCTTACTGGTTTCCATATTTATTTCATTCACTAATATGCTTTTTTTTGCTTTTTAAAGGCATCTGAGTTCAGTCTTCTACTCCGGGACTTAGCTGAGGGCGTCTTGGTGCCTCGGCCAATGTTCGGCGTGTCTACAAGTGAGGTTAAGGCAGGTTCCGAATCTATTGTCGCCCCTAATACTAATCGTGGCTATGAAGGAATTCTTGCTGCTTGTCTTGCCGAATATAGACGTTCGGTTTCCACCTGGCAGCTCTCAATGCCCTCAAATGTTCCAAGCTCATCCACACCCTCCTCCGCTGACAACATCGCTACAATGACTCCCTTCTCTTCATCTGACTATCCTTTGAAACATACTTGCCCCGAACCTCCCTTGGCCATCGAGATGACATCTCAGGTCTCAACCTCCACAGTTCTACCAGATCATTCAAAGCCTAGTTCCATAAAGTTTCTTGACCAGATGCCCTCTAATGGCTGCGATCTTGAGTCATCAGCATATGAGTTGATCGGCCGATCGATTGGGACGAAGAACAATCATCGTTTGGAGACTGCAGATTATGCGGAAGATGTCGAGACAGACTCTTTGTCAACACATTGTCAAGGGGGGATTAAGGTTGTGCAGATCCGAGAACTAATAGCACTCACAAAAGTCAGCCTCTGATTATTTTGCCTTATTATTTTAGCTCTATTCACACCTCTTCTTTATTGATCTTATTATTATTATTTCTTACGGCATACGCCTGATTCCTCGGTGCTTCTCACAGTCGATCAATCTTACCAGGCTTCTTTTGATATGCTTGCTCCTAATGCTATATTGTCTTCGAACATTAATATCATTTTTAGATATACATGTCTTATTATTCGGTCTGATAAAAAACAGTATAAATGCAAAAGTTAACCATTAAATATGCTGCAATAATCTTACCGAAAAGATTTTGGCTTCGTCTCTTTCAGTTGGTCATCCACATTAATGTTTCGCTATCGTGTGGAGGCTTACCTAAGATTTGGTTCTCCATAGTCACCTAAGCGTTTGATAATTGCTGGTTCAAATCAGAAAATGCGAAATAACTAAGGACAAACTAACTGCTTCTTCAAATTAGCTCTAGACTCCGATCTTATACTTGACTTTTGACTATATCGACCTCATAAACTAACTAGAATTTCTGATTTAGGTATATTATAAGATGGATTTTTTGGATAATATATCCGCTAAATTTTGGTTTATGCACTCATGTTTACAGGTGAGTATCTACTATTTAAAATACTAGTGTTGATTCTACAGTCTCCTCTTCTCATAGAGTCATGTTTTTAGAGAAAACTCTAGCTTAGCCTTGTCTTAACCTCGAGGATCTATCTAGCTTTCTTTATCAATTATCAAACTGGGTTCATATGCTGTCTTTTTGGTTGGAGCTGACAAAACTTCTTTATCTTTTATTCGCACCCACGATACATCTCTTATGTTAACTATGCTACCTAATTTTTCGTATGTAAGTAGAGTTCTGAGACTACCAGTAAATCAGTAATATGAGATGTATTCACCTTATTTTGCTTAAGGTGATGAAGGACTGGTGGTATAATTTTCCCACAATGATATAAATAGAGCTGACGGTTCCATTGAATTTCACATAGCTTTGCCTTCCCAAAAGTTGTTCTCACTCAGGGTAGACTGCAGTTTCGACCTCACAGTCTTATCACCACCCTCCAGCAGTTTTCGAACCGTGACAGTACAGAAGGTGAGCTTGACACGTTAACCACTTGGCCGCATTGTCACGAGTACCCTTGAGTCACAGGCAGATATGAATTTTAAGAAATGCCAGGCTTTTTCCCATATCGCATCCTTTGGTAGAATTGACTACGTTACTTATTTTTCGTGTGTAAGTAGAGTTTTGAGACGAAACAAAATAGGGTGAATACTTCTCATAGTACTGATTTACTGTTAGTCTTGAAACTACTTACAAACGAAAAATAAGTAACGTCTGCCCCGTGACCCAAGGAGATTCGTGGCAATGTGGCCAAGTGGTTAACGTGTCAAGCTCACCTGCACTGTCACGATTCGACTCCCACTAGGGGTGTTGATAAAGCTGCTAGGTCGAAGCTGCAGTTCACCCTGGATGAGAATAATTTTTGGGAAAGGAAGGCTATGTGAAATTCAATGGAAACGTCATCTTTGCTCATATCATTGTGGGAAAATTCTACTATTAGTCCTTCATCACCTTAAACGAAATAGAGTGAATACATCTCATATTATGTTACCTAACGCCAAAAGTTGATGCTTATCTTCATTCACGCTTCCAATAGTCTGATTGAAGAGTTATAATAGGGATCCGTTTGCCAAAGCGGAACAGATATCTAGATTTTTTGTGTATACATCTCATGACAGGTTATGTGAATACATGTTTTTACCATTAAATTAATATTCGCCTTTTTGTCAACAGCAGAACTTCCATTATTTTCAGCTTTGTCTGATCACTCCATACTATATTTATTTTTAATTATTAGCGGAAAACATCATTTATCCAACCAGTCCGAAACTGCTTAGAACACATTGCGACTACCCTATCGACACCAGACAACTTGGCAAAGATCAATGCTTGGCGAATGGACAGCGAATCCTGCCGAGTTATACACGCATCTCCAGACTCTGATTTGGACTTGGACTTAGTATCTGAATCGAGCCAGCTGGCTGACGCCCAACGGCCGTTATCCTCTAGGTCCCCATCACGTTTAGCAGAATCAAAACCACCTGTGCTCTCAGCCTCCTCCTTATCTTCCTTGAGTGTCCACTCGTTGGCTCAATTAAATCAGGATCAGTACCGATTGTTGCGGGCCCGAGAACTGCTACAGGACGATACTCGACTCTGGGTTGCTTTGAATGCCGCTCTCTCATCTCCTCTCATCCAGCCAAGATTCATGAGTCGGCGACGGATAGTCGATCACCTCATTGTAGGCTCTCTGCATCATCTTGTCTCTAGGTGTTATTTACCTTTTACACATAGGAACTCGCAAGCACAATCGTTAGTTTGAGAAGATTAAGATATATATAGTCCTATTTAGAATAACATGAAGTTATCTATCACAGGTTTATGCACAGTTAAAAGATGGTATAAAGGAGATTTGAGTATACAGTATCACTTATGTATTATTGATTAAAAAATGTAGTCTGCCTTCTCCCGTAAAAATTGTGCAACAAAATATAAGAGTGTATATTTTAACCTATTTATCTAAATAGTGCCTAATATAAATTAAATATCCGAAAGATTTACTCGAAGAAAAATAGGGTTTCGAATAATCACTTGGTTCATAATTATTGGGATTACTTACAATTTAAGTGAACTAATGTGATCAAGAGTTTCGAAGGCTGATCCCATAAAAAGATGTTGACTGTCTGTTGACTTTAAA